AAAAAAAAAAAAAAAAAAAAAAAACTTTTAAATTGAAATTTACATCTTTTAGTAGTTAAGCGAAAAACAAAAACAAAACTACAATACACACCGTAAACAATCCGTAATAAATTGTATGTGAAATGTAAAGATTAACTAATATAGATATATATATATATACATATATATATATATATATATATATATATATAAAGCTAAGATTCTTATACGCCATGCGTTTTAATGATATGAAGTAATTTAGTAATTTAAAGAAATAAATTTACAAGGAATCGAGTGTAATTTGAATCGGCCGTAGATTAAAATGAAATGAACCAATACAGTAGTATGACGAAAGCGAGCGTTAGTTAAGCTAGCGAAAGCCCATGTCGTCTAAAAATCATCCTCACACTTAGGCAAGTGTATGTAGCATTATTAGTATGACAGTTACGCACTAAAAATGGCTTTATTTAAGACGAGAAAAAGAACAAGAAAATTATATTCGGTCATGACCGAATTTTCTATACCCACCACGACGAAAATCTTTGATGCTCCTTGTTTTTATTTATTCTCATAAAAAAGTGAATTGGATGAAATTTTATCTCTCACCCTTCACTAAGAAGTATCGTTAAGAAAAATTTATCTACCCCATCATAATTTTGAGTTAACATACTTACCTTACCGCATTCCTCTCACGAAGACCTTTTATGTGCTATCAACGGTATTGTAACACAAAAATTAATCCTCTACGTCATCGTTCGAAATATTTAATTTGGAACTAATTTACTTGGCTTTTTGCGTTCCATTCTCCAAGTCCCGTTATTTGACATCCATATCGCTGGTATTATTAAGAAGAAATTCATTCACAAATTCCCGATGTCTACTATATTCATTTTAGAATTTAACCCATTTTAGGCAGATATAACATTTTCATTGGAGGAGTGTACAAAATGGTTCAAAACATTCGGTCTTATGATAAATATAAGGATAAAATCTCAATAAAGTGGAAAAAAATACCATTCAATCACTCGTATTTTTGTGTGGGCGTGGCCGATTCGTTCCATTTTTTGCATGCAAATCGTAGTGTGTTGTTATCAGCGGAGGCTAAGTTTGCGATTCGGCGAACTTCTAGAGTAGGCATGCGCAACGGCCACCCCTTGAAGTCGTCGACTCCGGTTGGCTGTGTTTAAGCTTTCAAATAATTGAATTTGCTCGCACATAGCCATGTCACAAATGATTTGTATCTGCCTTGAGTTGTCGAAACCGCACCACAAAATCGAAAAAATAGACTGGTCCGCAAAATTGCGACCTGTAGTTTGAACATACATTTGCGTGAGCAGACATCAGACGACAGATAGGGTTAGATCAATTCAGATCACCATTCCGTATCGATCGGTATAATAAAAGGTGAGTCTATCCTAAGCTTTTCTGTGTGTCACATATGTCCGCAGTAACTTAACATACTTTGGTAGTGTAAGGTAGAAAAATTATTTTAGATACGTTTATCTGCCCTCTCTCTCGCTCGCTCCCTGTCTCTGGTGCCATAGAAAAAAACTTTTAGAAACGATTAAAAGAAAAATTGAAAGATTTTTAAAAGGTATCAATCAAGTAGTGTCAACAACCAAGTATTCAGTCACGGCGGTTCCAGATTCTAACACCAGAGGTCTATCAATGAACAGTATTTGAGTAAAAAGATGCTACGAGCGTCATTACTTTGATATACGGATCAATTATTATCGGATTGAAGAAGATCAAATAAAAAAAGTCATTAGCCAAGAGTCAGTATACAATCCCCGTACATACGAGTTGTCCTACGATACGGAAAGCAAAACCGAAACTTTCGCTTGGTTGGGATGATGGTACTCAATTACTTTCTAGTTCCATGCATTTACAACGAAATATTTGCGATATCATCGGCAATGCAAAGAAAAAGAAGAAGAGTAAGTAAATGAAAAATTGGTAAAAATATTAAAATCTATTTAATAACAAGTGAAAAACACTATACTGGGACACGGCATATTATTAAATGCCCTACACCATCCTATTGGATTGAAACACTATCAATAGCGTTCGTCCTTGGGTCAAAATACATCAGTGTGCCACTTGTGGCACGTGGCTATATTAACTTTGTGCGTATGTATATAACAGCACATAGGATAGACTCGCTTTTTATTATACCGATCGATAGAGAATCCCATTTTGCATCGATCTAAGTTTACCTGTCCGCCTAGTTATTTTATTTTCAACTTACGGTCAGCAATTTGTGATATAATTTGATGAAATTTTCGAGACCCACCTTATTTTGACCTAACGACGAACGTTCGAAAATGGTTTGGATCAGTTTCATTTTTTCGACCACTTCTCATATAACATTATTTTATTTCAAAAAGTTGTTGTATGAGCGACTGTAGATATAATGTAGGGTATTTAATGATGAACCGTGTCCCGCGATTTATAAGACCATTCGATAGTTCCGTGGTCGCGGATAGATTCGTTTTGGCCATCAATGATAACTCATGTTAGTTTATATTAGGTCGGGGAAAACGATATCCATTATTTTTAAGTCAACTTCAAGACCTTATATAACACGTGTCGTTTTGCTCTATAATATTTTAAGCTTAGCGCCAATGCCAATTTTTTTTTCAATTTCTTATCACTAAGGACGATTTGCAATGCAAGAAAACCATGGCGACCGTTTGGTGCCAGATCCGAACTGTATAACGGATGCATTAAAACTTCCCAATCAAGCTCCCAGAGTTTCCGGCCGTTCACTATAGACATAAGTGCCTTGGCGTTCTCCTGATGGAACACAGCACCGCTCCTATTAGGCAATTCTGGCCGTTTCTGGCCAATCGCTGGCTTCGAATGGGATCCGAATCTAGTGTTTGGCCACATGATTCCAAATGGTTGCTTCGTAGTCTCACTAAATGCACAGAGGAACCTTCCTGTCCCTTAGTCCTGGTTTGGCCGCTGTTTGAGCTGCTTCACCACGGTTTGACCACGATCGTTTCCTCATAATGTGCCGTAGGTGACCCATTTCCCATCACCAGTCACTATCCGTTTAAGAAATGGTCCAATTTCATTCCTTTAGGGTAAGGCTTTGCAAATGGAAATTCGATCCATCATGTTTTTTTTATGTTAATGGGTGTGGCACCCAAAGCATCAAACTTCTGTTTAAATCCAGCTCTGTGCAAGTGACGTAAATGACTTTTATGCTCGATCTTTAGGTCCTACCTATCTTTAGGATCTACCTGTACGAGGTAGATTGGAATCGGCGACACCAAAATTGCACTTAATTGGCTGTTACAGTATAGGGACCGTAATCACCATACAAGCAATTACGGCCGCCTGGAGTTGCAATTTCGCCTTTGCCAAAAGACAACTGTAAAATGTACCGAATTTTCTCTTTGCTGACTGACTTTCGACCACAAAACCTGAAATATTTTTATCGATACTTCACGAGATATCCTTTACTGCAGTCATTTAACGGCTTGGATTTCTTTTGCTCCAACCTAATATTAGAACATAATTTCATATTGTTGGCATTCGTTGCAGTTTGTAAAATTAAAACAAAAAAGAAAAAAAAAATAAATAAATTAACCAAACAATTTCCATTTTATTGCTACATATTTCTATTTTATTTCATGATCATTAGGATTCCTATTATTTTTGTATAGTCAACTGAACAAAACCATTAGCTTGAATAATTATATATACATGTTTGCTATGCCGAAAATGAATAACACAAGATGTGAGAGCGAAATAAAATGCAAACTAAAGTGGAAATTAAATATTTATAATATATTCTTTTCTGATCATATAAATGAATACGTTATATATTAAAAAAAAAAAAAAGGAAAAGAAAATCAAACAATAAAAATATATGTAAATAATACACAATAATAAGTCGAAAGAAAAAAAAAAAACAAAAACCATAAAATTTTAATGATATAGTAGTAAATGGGCTAAAAAATCCAAAAAAAAAAAAAATGCTAAATTTTCTCCCCTCTTTTTATTTTAATTTTTATATATATTTATGCGTATATTTTATCAACTTAATTTTAAAAGCATAGATAACAATCCAAAAGCGTAACTACCATTCCGCATCACCGTTCGATTTTTGAAAAACATAATCCTTCCCTCCTATATTCATAATACCATCTTTCAAATAGAATTTCCATTTATTTCGCGATCGTGTTATCTATATAAAAAAAAGAAATATATATATATATATATATTTATAATTTTATCGTTAATCATTATTATCACCTTATCGTATTGGCACACAATAACATTTTCAGTATCAAATAGATCGCTCGCATCTTCATCGGTAACATCGTCCTCGCTATTTAATGGCTCTTCTTCAGCACCTCCTTCATTTTCTATATCTTCGTCATCGTCTTTATCTAAATCATCATTATCATCATCGTCCATATTATCATCACTCTCTTCGCTTTCGTCTTCGTCCGATGTGTCAACAGCTCCGTCCATTTGCTTTGAAGTATTGAAATTTTCTGTAAATTAAACAAAAATAAGAAGAAGAAGAAAATTGCAGGAAATTATTAAGCCTGTGCTTAAGCCTGCTCTCAGAATAGCTAGTAAAATTTCCAACATGTAATTGCCGTAAAGCAGTTTACTTGTCAACTACTTTGGAGTTTATGAAGAACAGATGGGGCACCCGAAACTTTGTCATTGACCGACTAGAGCGCAAATATTTATTCGAATGAACAAAATGCCTATATTTTATTTTTGAAGCCATCCCAAGTGTAAACGAATTATCAGACAATTCACCAACATCAACATTTCCGCTTTCTTTTAACGACCGACACGCCAATCTTAGTTAAGCTTTGATATCGCGCGGGGAATTAAAGTCAGGCATGCCGACTTGATGGCCAGTCTTCTTGTCTACCAGGCCATGTGCGATTATAAAAACTTATAAACATTCCGAAAAACTTCTGGACACACCTATGTTGAACCAATATTGAAGATTGATATCGCGCTAGAATTCTGTACTGATTATAATATCCTTAGTCTATTAAAGCTTTAGTTTTTCCTTAGATAAAGATGTAATCGAATATAAGAAAATCTATTTTTCGAAATCATTTCAGCTATGAGAGTATTGTAGCTGAACGACACAACATTAATTCAATTGTTTTCATTGTATATACGGGTGTCCTTCGCTTGACACGCCTGATTCGTACTGTACTTTATATATTGAATATTGAAAATCGTGTTAAAGCAAAACAATTCGTGTAAAAAGAGATTTTTTTTTTCTTTCCAAGTCATGTAAAAAAATTTGTGTAAAAAGAGAATTCCCAAACTTTCTCGACAAGAATTGCGATACTGCGGCGCAATGTACATTCAAATTGTAGAATTTCCTCATTTTTGTATTTTTAAGCTTTCACAAATCGAGTTGATTGCATGCAGGTATAATCTCTCGACTAGATACGCTCTCTGTAGATAATAAAGACGCGACATCAGGCAGAGCAAAAACCTTGGTAACGAAATTTCACAAACTACTTTCATATCCGCCTTGTCCCGCTTGCCTTTTTTGCGAATTTTCGATACGTTTTCCTGCGTGACGTTACGTAATGTCTCCCCGCGTTCGAAGATACATGATTAAATTTTGTATACATTATATGGAGTTTTTTTACTTCACAATTTCCTTAAGATAGCGCAATAGTATATGTTTCAGGTTATCATTCCGTTTCATCGTAAGCGAAATGTAAAATGAGATTGTCGAACAAAGAAATGTATTTCGAAATTTCGTAAAAAAAAATTATGCAAACATTTAAGATGAAATTAATTAAATAATGCGCTTACTTTGCATATTGGCGTTAACTAATGCAGCATTTACGTGTTGTTGCAGCACTGACGAAGCCAACGTTGTAGGCAATGACATTATCGAAGATATTAAATGAGCCGTCAGAATTTGCGTGAGTTGATTCTCTTGTAAAGCCGAAGCTGGAACATGTATAGTAAGCACCCGAGATTCAGAGTTCATGGTACCCGGTTGAGCAGGCAAAGTTATCTGTTTGTAGTAAAATATTCAAAGTTATATTTTTCTTTTTTTAGTTTTTATATCGTTATATTCTAATTGTAGATATGTATATAAATTAAGCTTAAAAAATCATCAAAAGATTTTGGATAAATATTTAAAATTATGTATAGAATTATTCTTCTAAACGTCCGAAGCTATGCATCACATTCGTTCATTTATATGAAATATTTGCCATCAGATAAATATCGAACTTGGAAATTTTTTTAAGTCTGCATACATGCACACTCTATAATGCCGTTCATAATACAACAACTAGAAATGCCTATATAGTAAAAATTCCATAATAAAATTCTTGGTTGGCGTATAAGGATCGAAAAAATTTAACGAATTTTGTTTTTGTTTTTTTTTTTTTCTATGATCAATCCCGCGAGGAAGCAGTACTTATAGGAGAAGAGGGGTGGAAAGATGGATGAAGTAGTGCTTACGAATGTTCGGAAAATAGGGATATTAGAAAGGGTTATATGGAGAAGACCATTGCTGGTAGGTTGTTTAAAAGGCGTGCAAATATGGTTAAGGAATAAAGAGTTACGGGAATGTGTTGTGCGCCGTGTAGGTAACTCCAAGATGAGTGTTTAGAAAGGCTGAGATAGCTAGAAATAGTGTAGAAATGTCAACGGCAACCAGTTTTATCCCAAAACTATTCTATCTTTGTGGAACTCTTGTTCTGGATGTGCGTTTACATAAGCACAACATAGCCCACGTTACGTTAATTAAATTAATAAGGGTTACATTAATTTTGTCCGTAGGTCCGCCTTTTTGCTAGAATACAAAGTAAGTCTAAATGTCAGTCTACTACACATAACTCATAAAAGCCACTTTAAAATCATTTTCATTTCTATTAATAATTTATTATCTGTAGCAAATATCAATCTGTAGCTTAGTATAGATAGAAATTTTCTTGTGAAAACTCTGTTAACCGATCAGTCAAAATCGTTAAATGTGATCCCAGCAAAAGTACAGATTTTTGTATACTTTTTTATTGTTATACACATAAAAACAACCAAAAAGGATTCTCGTATTTTGGACTGATAGTTGTTTATAGTTTACATTTTCATTTAATTATTCCAGCAAGGTATAAATAATAAACATAAAATATTATATGAAAAAAAAAAATATATCTTTAAAAATAAAACGGGTAAGAAACTTATATTTAGCTGAAGCCGAATCAGCAGAAGGTCGAATGGAAAGTTCTGCCACACCTAGCGTACTCATTAGATATGTTGCCTCCTGATAACAACTTATTCAGATTGGTACAGCATGGCTTGGCCGGCGCACGGGGAACGCAAAGTTGAAGAAATGCGAAAATGGATCAGTGGGTGGATCGCTGCGAAACCCATATAAGTTCTTTTAACATGGTCACGCCATGTTACCGAAAAAAATTGCGATATGTAGTACAAAGCGATGAAAACTACTTTGTACCACTTTTGCACGATAAATTCCTCTTTCAAATGAAAAATTAATCAAAATTCCCGCAAACACCGAAGATTATGATACAATGGAACTCTCTTTTTAAATTATTTTACTTAAAATTAATTAATATTAATAGAAAGTCATATGAAAGCAAAAAAATTGTATGCCTGCATAAATTATGATGTATAAGTAATGGCTATGATGAAAAATTTCAAAATTCTTACATTGACGGGCATTATACGATTTGGATCCAACGAAGCCACAATAGGTATAGTAGATGATTGCTGTTGTTGTTGTTGCGGTTGATTGCTGCTATTAATTCCTGATGACGTTTGTTGCTGCTGTTGCTGTTGCTGCTGCTGCTGCTGATTATTGATTACCACCTGTTTTTGTTGTTGCATTATAGCGGCCGCATTTGAAGAGCTTGCCTGCAATTGTGATGGAGGCAATGATTGCTGATTTACTATTGTCAACGATTGCTGTACTACTTGAGGTTCTTGTTTAATTGTACCATTCATAGCCGCGGTGGAAATAGTCGAAGTTGTTGTATTACTGACAGCATGCTGTAATGCGGCAATATTTGGCTTAACATCAACTAGTGACGATATGCCGGCATTGCCTGACGCTGTTGAGGTAGTGTTTTGAGCTGATGCGTTACTTTGAGCTTGTTGTGATGCGGCCGCAGCAGCAGCTGCCGCCTTTTTCGCTTTAGCTGCTTGAGCCTATGTTCACAGTTTAAATATTAAATACTTTTAACGAATCTAATCGCAATATTTAACGAGTTACCTTCGTGGGCTAACAACGACACATTGTTGTTATTGTTGTTGTTGTTGTTGAAGTGTTGGTGATGCATTTTTCATAAAAGATTTTTTTTTTTTTTACAAGTGTGGGTGTAGAGAAGGAATCACGTTACAAGTAATTGTTGTTGTTTTTATGTCATTTTTGTGATACATTATTGATTTTTTTTTTTTCAGTGAATTGCAACACATGTTACCGTTAAGATATAGCACAGATAAGTTACAGTTGTTGTTGTTGTTGTTGTGGTGGTGGTGATGGTTGTTGTTGAGGCAACATTGACAGTGGTATGCATTTGGATGATAGTGTGAATAAAATATTTATATGAAAAGAAATTCGTGTATTTTTTTTTTTTTTTTTTTTTTTTGTTTTAATTATTATTATTATTTTATTATTGAAAAATTTTCGCTTTCGTTTAGCACTTCTATACTCTACAAACGTTATATATATATATTTATATTGTGTGTATATATGTATTTAGTTTGTGTGGATGTATATGCCAGATCCATGAGGGCTTGAGATATACGCATCTTCTATTATATCGCACATATCAATATATATAAATAATGGTCCAACGAGAGACGCCATTGTAAGGTACGACTTTGTACTACTACTGCCCACATAATACTCCACTTTGAGAAAATCGCTTCTTTAAATAAACATTGACCTATTAGGCAAATTTCTAAAGTGTGGATCAGAATGGCATCACTTTTTGAAGAGTATGGCATATAAAAGTTCTAATAGAAATAAATCATTACAAAGTGTAATGATGAAAACTGATCCACGTGAATGGACTGCGTTCAATTGGATCCGCATTGGTCTACTTTGCGGGCGTAACAAGATGTTAAACTTTAATTTACAATAATTCATTTGGATTAAATAGATCTCCTCCCTGCAAAACGACGTCCGCTAAGAGTTAAGCCTTCGTATAGTAATAAGATATAATTTTTTAAATGTTTTCCGACGAATATATAGATAACCAATTGCAAGAGGCGAATTGGCGTAGGATATTGAATAGTCGACCTTGCCCGACTATAACGTCTTAGCTTGTTTTCAAATAACAATAGTTATGTACACATACCTTGGGATTATTTGCTACAATTTGTGGAGGTTGCATGTCATTTGTGGGTTCAGGATTTAGTTCAACAGCTTTACTGGCCAATAGTTTTGAGCGCCATATCTGCTTCATTTCTTGTAAAACTTGTTCATCAACGCCCTCATCGAGAAATGCATCACGCACGTTCGCTATCACATCTTCTATAACAGCATGATACACTTTAAGCTGTAAGATGAAATCATATTTATATATATATATATATATATATAATATAAGATAAAGTGATATATATATATATAATATATATGTATTTATGTGTGTAACATTTATGTATCTATTTTATCTATCTATTTATATAACTCGGCACTATTCCTATTTCTTTTTAAAGAAATTTTAAACTTTTGTTTCATGCGTTAATTTGTATTGCTTTCAAGTTCCTCCTTCTATGGTCAATAGAAAATAGTTCATAAAATATACTAAGCTCCACATCCGCGTAGCATGAGATATGGTATACAGTACCGATAACCGTAACTGTAGACTGAACAAATACATCTATAAACTTCGTTCCTCCTCCGCTAATGTTTGTAAAAGATACAAATGTGTTTGTGCGAATGTATGCAACATCCAGAAAGATTTGACATACATCAATCTTTTAGTATACCGATCGATTCGAAATTACTTTTAGCATCGATTTATGCTGGCCCAACCTAGGTCCCGCAATTTTTGAAATATTTTGATTATATTTCGGTTCAGATCGGACCAGGTCTTCGACCACTTCCCATATAAAGTCTTATTTTAATAAGTCGCTACAGGTGTCTGCAAAAATTTTAGAAGATCAACGATATCTACAGCTAAAAATGATAAAAAATGGGAAATAGAGGGGGGGGGTCCATAACGCATATCTTCACTTTTGCGACCAGGACATTGCCAACAACGCACACCACGCAGACACATAACCGGACAGATATGGCGCTGAATCAACTCAGGATTTCACCCTGATCAAGAATATATATGCTTTATAGGATATCTGACGCTTCCTTGGTCAATTTCCATTCAACTTAGTGCCAGGAATTAGCTCGACGGTTCGCCATATATTTCACAAGAAATTCGCCTTTTCATTACGTTCTTTTTGGTTTGCACTTTACTTGCTTGCACTCTTTAGTGGGAGGTATTTTTAGTCGATCGCGGGTCAAGAAAAAAAAAATGCAATCTTCAAAACCTTAAGATTATTATCCATAATTAAATTCACGCAATGTTGAAATACATTACCAAGACTATTTCTAATTCAGGCAGTTTGGAGACGATATTTGAGCATTTATCCCGTAATTTTTATTTCACTGGTGACTCAACAAGAAAAAATAAGGTTAAATTTGACCTTACAATTATTCCAGTCAACAGCGATGCTTTGGCGCTGATTACCCAATAAAGAATAAAAGAATACCGGAAACTATCGGTCCCTCAACTCGGACGATCGTAGAACGACGATGCTGACTCGTACTTCCTTCGAAGTTGTCTCCTGGCAAGCTTTTCGTATTTCAATCAGAAAACAGCTGCTTCCAGATTGAGTTTCCCCAAACCCGGCATTTAAACATAACGATTAGATTTTTACTAACTTAACCTAACGCTCCTCCCACCGACACTGAGAACATATGATACCAAAGCGAGGGACGACTTTAATTCCTCACAAATATATATATGTATACATAGGTAAAATTTATTATTATTATTATTATTAATTGAATCAGAGAAATAAATTCTGTCGTCTTTGAAAGCATAGCCTCTAAGGTTATCGGCTTTATTGACGGTTTGAGCCTGCGGACTATTGAGTCGTTAGCAGAGGTCCTTTACTTACTCGGCCACTCAGGCTTTTTCTTCTTCTTTGCTTTGGTTTCCTTGTATACTGTATGTTTGTCTCGATTAAAACACTTTTTTTTCAACTCAACAGCAGTCGACTGATTTAAACCCACAAAACTACGCTGTCGGAACGGATGGTTAAGACGAGTGCACATTCAATGTCGACTATCATTAAACCGTCCTCTGATAAATAGCTTATCGCTATATATGAGTTAATTGTATACAAAAATATTTATAATTTAACTTTTGATTTTTTTTTTTGGTCTTTACACATATATTATTAATTAATAGTTAATAAGTGGTACCACTAAGAGTTCGCGTGAAAAGAAAACATTACACTTCGTTGATGTAAAAGCGCCACATGGCGCTTTTCGTGTAATTTGTGTCAACATTAGCTATATACGATCCACGAGGTGCTATGCACAATGTATGATTACATTACACGAATGAAAATTCGCCGTAATTGATTCATTCAAGAGTGTATATGGCGTGTATTAAAAAATTGATCATAATTTTGATATGAACTCGGATAGGAAATTGAATCATTTTAATGAAAATTTGCACACAAAAAAGCCATTCAGAAGGATATGGCAAATAACTAAGAACCTTATAGTCGGGCAACGCCGACCATTACATATCCTACACCTTTTCGCTTAGTACAGTTGTGCATTCGTTTTAGCGATAAAACATTATTTTCATGCAAAGCCCTAAAAGTCTCATATTGAAAGATTAGACTTTCTCGCCAAATAGAAGTTTCCTTTTCGTGATAACGCCTATATATGTTAGGGTCCAAAATAGTAGACTTATGCCATCCAAATTCCCTACCGTCAATTTTTTTATTCAATCGCTACTATGATATAATTTTCTTCATAAACTGTTAAAAATTAAGTCTTTTTTCGGAGTGCTTACCACTCATGAGATAACTTATATGGAGTGGGGCAAGAAATAGACCCACGCGGTCCAAACCAGATTCACTTAGTTCTTATATTAAATGGACAAGTTTTCATGACGAAATTATTAACAACTAGAACTTTTCGGCACATAAGTGTTTACATTTTATAAAAATCCTTATAGACGGTGGCATCCATTGGCCAAATTCGGTAATGCCGATTTCTTTATCAATTTACTATTATGAGACAATTTTCATCATGAAACAATGAAAATAAGACTTTTTTAACATATAAAGCATCAGCTCTTGTGGAATCAGCGGGTTCAAAAAATTGCCCTAGCCGGTCCAAAGTTTTCACACCAATATAGAAATGATATTATTTAAGCACTAGAACGACTTTTCAGAAGAGGGCGATATATGGTGGATGGTCGAAAAAGCAGACCGATTCGAGCCACTTCCAATTGCGTTCATCCATGGGTCAAAACACGTCTTCGTAGAAAATTTCATCAAAAAATCGGAAAAATTGCGATATGTAGCTTCAACAGAAATTTACATGAACGGATATTATTAGATGGATGGACAAATAGACAGGCTTAGAAAATGATTCTGAAGCGATCGGTATAATAAACTATGGGCGTATCTTAAATCCTTCTGTATGATACATATGTCCGCACTAACTTAAATCCTTCAAATCCTTCCTTTAACATTCGCTTCCATCGATGGCTTATTATTTGTTGGAACGATGGTTGCATTTTTTTTGAGAAAGAATGACGTCCGAAATTTCTTGAGAGGAACACCGAAACTTTGCAGCACTTGCGCAGTAAGCTGTTCATGAGTTTTCACTGTGAAGAAATTCTAACCTGAAATCTCTTATCTTCTTCGGCGTTAATAGCAGTTTTTCAGTATGAAGAAATTCTAACCTGGAATGTCATACTCTCCTCTTCGCCTAGACACTAGTCTTTCCGATTAACGCTGTTGCACTTTTCTAACGATAATCAAATAGGGATCTTTTAAGGAGGCTCTCAAAAGATTCGACCGAAATTCGAAAATTTCCTGGGAAATGGGAAAAAGTAATAACCAGCGATCCACAATACTTTGGTTAATCTGTTTATTCATTTTTTATTTATTCCTTGTTTTCAATTCATCTACGGAATGAAGTACAGGTAGAAGTAAAATCTATTCTTAAGAATGAATATACAAAAAAAGTACTTAAGGATGCGCGCGCATAAATCGCTACTTGACTTGGTAACTATAATAAAGCGCTTAAAAGTAAATAATATCACGAAGAACGAAGGAAACGGACTACAGTTGCTAATACGTGAAGCATGGCGGTGCAGTAAGACAAGTTGACTGGAACTAACCTTAGCGTGACAACTCAAATTGAACCTTTTTGTATTTTGCCAACTCTTAAACCGCATCTTAACTAATTGTATTGCTTAGGCATGATAGCGAGAAAGCACGCACATTATATAACGCTCGTTTAATGATACGAGCAGAAGCTGCTGGCGAAATAAGATAATGAATGTCGTTAAGTGGGTTAAACATATTTCATAACTAAATTTGAGAAACATTGAGAAAATTTCAAATATGAATAGTTCCCTGATGACCGGGTAACGACAATTAAAATCAATTTCAATAACATAAAATGAACCTCCACCTCCGCCTCCGCCTCCGTCGTACTTTCATCGCAGATTACTTAAGGGAAGAAATAAAAACTATTTTTCCAAACCGATCCTTGATGTTGATTCAACATCACACCGATCGGATGCCGATTATACTGCTAAAGCGCACATTCCTGTGTAAGTCTACCCCAGGTCGTGTACGATCTCTTCGCAATATATGGGTCATTTTACTCTGCAAACAAATGCATTTTTGGTCACAAAAATACTCCGTAAATACAATAATTTTCTCTTTCTTTGTTAGACCTTAAGTTAACTTAGTTCAATTTTATAAAGTTCAATAACCGACTCTAAAAAAAAAAATAACAAGTAAGAAAATTATATTCGGTTGCAACCGAATCTTTAATACCCTTCAGCGTTATCCACCGTTTAGGTCACCCTCATAGTCTTTTGCAAGCGAGATCTTCATTTTCGTTAACGGGAGAATCTTTACCCCGCAAATAGTACACGGTTGGGCAGAAGGACAGACAAATATGCTTAGGAGCATTTCATATAGGAAACTGTTTAAAAATTTTTATACTTTATGGGTTCTGCAAGATTATTTCTGCACCTTATGAAGGCGCGGTCAATTTTTGTTCCATTTTTGTATAGGTACTACTACTACTACAGCATTCGTTCAAAGAGTACGCATTCAAATTTTTGTACATTTATTTGCTACAGTTTATGAGTAAAGAGCAAAAAAGCAATTTTTTATGCCCTTTGAAAGACGGAGGTGTTGTCAATTGGCGTGGTAGTCTGGACGAGTCCTTCGACCGATATGCACCATTCTCACTGCATGCAAGAACTTTCAATGTTTTTGCCAA